TGAAGAACCATTTGTATGGGGTACGACCACCATCTTGGAAGGTCTCCATGAAATTGGTAGCAACCTAAAATCTAGCAAGGTGGAGGCACCTCAAAACCTTCACGAACACGTGAGCTCAGTTTGCTTTAAGGCCGGAGGCCATAGTGTTTTTCTCACTGCTTGGAGGATATCACGTTGGTATTTGTGAGTTTCAGTTGAGCGTAGCAATTGAAATTGGGATCCACTTGTGTCACACGTGATAACCTGGACAGGCCAGGCACTTCGGGGACCCCCCACAATGTTCGATAAAGTGAACCCACACTAGTACTTAGTTGCCGGTGGCATTGGGAAGCAGCACACCCTTGGGTGGTTGCTTAGTGGGAAACCACATTGATATGGAAAGCAATGAACAAGCGTGGCACTGTCCAGGTCGCTGTGTGTTGAAACCGCACACCAATTGGGAAGCACCTTTGCAAGGGAACAACGTGACACCACGCATCTCTCTTGGCCACATCTGTCTGGGGTACACAGGAAAATCAAATCTGACTCTGTTCCATGCTTGACCATAAAGTACAACCTGTATTGGGTCACAATTGATTTAGCCTCAAGTTGCAGTAAACTTCCCACGCGCAAAAGCGTGCACAGGAGTCGGCTTTGGACTGCCGAGTTTTTCCTGGGGCGCTGTGCAATCAAAACCTGGCCGCTTGCCCAGATTCATGACCCGAAGGCACTGACACACATCTACATGTAGATACCTACATATATATATATATATATAACATAGCTTGTCCAGCCACCGGAATGGAAGAGTCACCCTACAATGAACCGAATGATCTCCAAAGGGTCGATCTGGGCTTCTTGTCCTCAAAGCTATGCCGAGCAGTTCAACGCGCGCCAAACTGGCCAACTGCGTGCCGGGGGAAACTTGTGACTCCGCTCGAGCGCCGAGAATGACCTCCCCAAATACTCGCAAACGGGCCTTTGTGCTTCCGAAAACGCAAAACAAGACAACATCTAACAGGCTCTGTCAGGGTGCCGTGATTAATTTTGTTTGTCAACGCCACCAGGTCTTATCCTACCTGTCTGTACAAACTGACTTTGCAACAGCAACAACATGACCCTTGCGTCTCAATCTGAAGGTCTGGGGCGCAAGTGCGAGCGCATGCCATTCGCTGCATGCCTGAATGACACCGGGTAAAGTGGCAAGGGTTAAGTCAGCCATAACATGCGACGTCATGTCGGTATTGTAATTGTTAGCAGCAGGCGCTTTTACATGTACTTGCACGATTCGTAAAAAAGAGAAGGGCAACAACACTGAACTTTCAGCTGCTACTATTTCCCGGAAATAGACCTTCTCGAGCTCCCTGTATGACTATATCTACAGCTCTATCATGCCGGACGGCTGCATGCTCGAACACTGGCAAGCGTAGAAGAGCATCAACAATCTGACACCCGCAAACAAGTGCAAGGAGCAAATGCAGAGTCTGACTCAAAGAAAAGCAAGCAACACCCACACAAACACACACACACACACACAACTCGCATATGAGCGTCGTCAACCCTGCAAATGTCCTTGAACCAGGCAAGCAAAGAACCAAAACTCCGTCCCACCAAGCAACATACCGGAACACTCGGTTGCGTGGAGTTCAAAACACGTGCAGCTGTGAATCATCCAATTTGGCTCTGAAGATTGAGTGGGCTAGAATTGCCCCAAGCCGCGAAAGCCTGAGAGAGAGAGAGAGAGAGGTAAGAGAGAAATCAGGAGGTACTTGCTCAACGAGTGGAAAGTCCAGTCCAACAAAGGGGCACAGGGGCAGTATTCCCTCAATGGCTCCAAACAGAGATAACAAAGGGTGAACTGGATAATGCTGAACAAGCACTCTCTCCACTCCTGTCGCGCACAAAGAGCAGATGGACACTTCTGAGTGTCAAAGCTTGCTATCAACTTACTGATTCAGGTCTTGTTCAAGTGCCTAGAGAGTACTCCAAGGCAAGCCTTACTCTCACATGAAGTCCCTTCCCTTTGAACAGCGCTTGCTTGAATGTCCGCAGCGCGAGCGGAGGCCACCCCCTCTCAAGCTGTTCGTAGATTCAGTGCTTCCAAAGCAGCTTTGAAAGCCAAACGCGCCGGCCAAAAAAGCAGAACCTGCTTGAAAGCTTGCACTACCTTGGCTTAGGCCTCCCAGAATCATTCTGGGCCACACTTGATAAATCCTGACATATATATATATAATACATATCAAATGTAATATAATATCCTCCCACCAATGAACATGGAGCCTGATAGGGGGGGGGGTCCTGGACGACATTTTCCTTTTAAAGGGACCCTCTGTCAGGTTCCATTTTGCTTGGTGGAAGGGTGTATGAGGGCATATTGCTTTCCAAGAAGAGTCCAGATCGCAACCTCGGCCAATGATCAGCCAAGCAGGGCTTAGGCTTACAAGAGTGCGACCTACAAACCCATTGCCAACCCTAAGTGCACCCACATTGGCGATTCCATAAGTTGGCTGCAGACAGGTGGGTATGGATACTCCCCGGCACAAACAAGCTGCAAACTCAAAACATCCATTTGCAGACAGCTCTCTTCGTGAACGACCACTTCTTGGCTTTCGGGGTACCGCATGACTGGGCATGTACCCCAATGTGTTTTGCTTTGTGACGGATCCAAGAGAACCGGTTGGTGGGTGAATAGCCCTGGTGATTGCATTGGCGGGCTCTTCATGGATGAGGATCCTGCTCCATATAAAATCACATCCTGCTGCTTCTTGCACGGAGTTCGCATAATCATGATCATAGTCTTGAAAAAAAAATCGTTCTGTGGCATTGTTTAGTCACAGGAATGCGGCCATACACCATGAAATCCGTGAGGGAAATGGTTGGAAGCCTCAAGTCATGGGTAGTAAGCAAGATTTGCCGGTTTGTGTCACGGATGGGCGGTGGGCAAAAACAAGAAACTCAGCCGTCCCTTCCAGAAGCCCCGGTTCTTTGCCAGGTGCCCTCTCTGCAAGGTCAAGGTTCCGCATGTGAAACGTCAGCCCGAAAAGTCGACTTGCAGTTCAAAGGACGGGAAGAACATCCGCTACTGTCAACATGGCAACCCTTCCAAGCGTCCATTCCTTAATCCAAGAGCTGGTCGCAGACCGTGTATACACTTGCGGAACCTCAGTACCACTTTCCCAGTACTGAAGAATCATCTGCTCGCCTTTTGGCGAGGGCAGATTCAAAGGCACCGGACAGGATTTCCCACTTTCCCCTAGCGCGGGTTTTCGACCTTCGGGCGGTCTGTCGACTTGAGGAGTGGTAAATCCTGGCTGTGGCATCAACGGCATGAGCTTGGATGCTTGTCATCCATTGAGACCCGGCAGTACCGATGGTCAGAGCTTCTTCCTACTTTCCTCAGAAAGCGCTGAACATTTCATGGCTCACCAAAAAGACGCAGAAATGCACAAAGCGATGCAAACCATCGCCCCTTCCTTCAGATTTTGCCACACTTCGAGCCATTAGCTCTGAGTCCAGCCGGTTTGAACCAGCCGGATTGAACCTGGCTGGATCCTCCCGACAAGGCCTGGCGCGAAGTTCAGAAGACGCCGCGATCGAAACCCAGCTTCTCGTGTGGTCAGGGCTCCGCACCACTTCATAAACCCAGGATCTACTACTTGGTGTGATTATTTTAACCCACAAAACCAGGTAGAACACTGCTCTCGCTTTGGCTATGCAGTTTTGTACCCTTGCTTTGATGGAAGGGCGCACGCCTGCATGGCTCGCATGGCCTTGTCAGCCTTGGTATTTTTGTAGTCTGGCGCACTGTTACCTGTTTGTTTTGTAATGTTGCCTGAGTCTAGGTGTGTCTCTGTCTGTGTCTTCTGTGCCCACGCAGCTGGTGTGCGGGGGGCGAACCTGTTGAAAATAATTGAGAAGCCTCACAAAGGCCCCGTATTCATGGTTAAACTGGTTTCACCGCACGTCCGCTCGCCACACGCACGGCAAAATACATTCCGTTTTGGGGCTTGTTCAAAGGGAATCCAAAAGGAAACCACGCCTTTTGCGGTTCATTTTGGAACAAGCGGTTGCATGCGGCTATGGGTTCCGCCGGGTACTTTTGGTGATCGAGCGAAAACCCGGCGCCACCTCCGTGTAGACGCTGATCTCGTCCCGTTGACAAGCCTTCTCACTATGTGTTTGATGTTCAAACAGAGAAAGTCAACAGATAGCCTGCTCTGAGTCCCAAAACAAGCCCGCAAGCAAGAAAGCAAACAAGCAAGCAAGTCTGCTGATTCCATGTGGATACTTGAGAAAGATTGCAACGTTCTGTGCCTCAATATTCGTTTACATACATATTAGATTTGGCTCACAACACATGTTAATCTCTTTGAACTGCAAATGTTTGGATGATGTACTATGACCTCACGAGATGTTAATTCGGATGTCTCAAAGCGCAACACATGGAAAGATCACGAGCTTCATACAAAGCCCAAAGCAAGTTGCTTAAGCAACCTTTGTTGAGACCAGGCACAACTCCAACAACATATCTCCGATGGAACGTTGGTCAAGCAAAGCCATGAAACTCACAAGTGTAGATCAGGCACAGGCTCCTGGGCATTCCAAAGAAGTATTAGATTGACATGTCTGAGGCACAAACGCTCTCATAATGGCAACGTCACGAGCGACACTCTGGCTGCAAGGTCATGCAAGGCATGCGATAACTCACTGGGCCTCTATGTACAACAAACATACGGCCCACACGAAAGGGCGATCAATTTAGGTGTTCCAGAAGCCCTGGGCATCATACGCCCACTTCAAAACCTACTTGACGCAGGCCCATGTTGAACAAAGGGGGCGCCAACACAATTCTGTCCGGATCTCAAGGGGACAAAAAGGGAAACCCTGTAGACCGATTGGCCCCCATGGTTGAGAGAAACACACTCATCTGGGAAATCCCGATGACTAGCGTTGAAACTTTGGAAATCCGGGTACAGAAAGTGGCAAGCTGGGACCTAAGTTCCACCCATAAACTCCAGGCCTCACTTCTTGTCAGGTTCCGCGTCGGCTTGGGCCTGGGTAATCCTGAGATACGCAAACCCAGTGGGGCGTTTTTTAAGGGAACCCTCCGAAGTTTGTTCATGGGTAAGCGACCTAAACCGGTGATGCAAATTTTGAACTGGGAACTCTGCCAAACAACAAGATGCACAACAACCCCCAAAAGCGGAGACCACTTTTGCCACAGGCGGAAGCCTCAGGAATGCCATCCATTGTGCGAGTTCCCCGTTTCGAGACAACCCCACATTCCAAGGCCCGGTTGAAGTTGCCCAGTGGTGCGGCCGAAGCAGTGTTCAGCCTGCACCAGAGTCGGGGTTGACACTTTCCTCCCAGTTTGTATAAGTGCATGCAACGCATGGGGAGAGCGGTGCACATCATTCAGAGCCGGAAATGAGAGATGCAGCTGGATAGGCTCAAAAGCCAGAAGCAGGCAGTTCCTTTGGAACACGACCCAATTCAGGCAGCCAAATTCAACGAGATGGCACCAACAAACTGGCAATGGTTGCTTCAACTGTAGCCTGTTCGAAACCTTGCGTTGTCGAATAAATTGTATAGCACCAGTATGTTCGTATAGACCTTTTGTTTCTTCAGAAATCAAGCCAGTACACCAGTTCCACAAAGTAATCATAGATTCAATCGTACACGTCCGCCGCCGAGAAAAAAACATTGCCAGTTCCCTCCCCTCCCCTCCCTCCAATTTCTTCCCCTCCCCTCCCCTCCCCTCCCCTCCCCTCCCTCCCCTCCCTCCCTCCCTCCCCTCCCCTCCCCTCCCCTCCCCTCCCCTCCCTCCCTCCCTCCCTCCACCTCTGCATCCAAGGCACCTCTTGGCCTGCTTCTTGGGCGCAGCGGCCTCCAGTCCACAGAGCATGTTTGGTGGGAGAGCTGAAGCGGAAAAGGCGCTCAAGGCACTGAAGACCGTAGGGAAAATCAGCCTAGCGTACAACAGCCCCGGAACTGGATTTTGCCTGGTCGCTAGGAACCCGACCCACACATGTTCCCAGGGACCCTTTGCTGTAGCCTCACAAAAGAACGCGGGCGCATACAATCATGAGCTACAAATCCCCAAGCTTGTGAGCTCTTGCGGTTAGCACATAGAGTCACATGCTGACAAAGTGTTCTTCTTGTGCTACCTGGTGCGACTTCTCTGCATGGAGGAATGTGTTGTAATTCTGGTGAACATGGTCCGCCAGGGTTCGAGGTACAACTCGAGGATTTGTATGAAATGCATAAAGGCCGCTTCCCATTGAGGTCGCACATGCATTTCGCTCAAGCCAACGGATTGCGCTCTTCACCTCCGAAGGCATTCATTTAATGAACGTCCACCTGGAGGTCCAGAACCACTCTGGCCTGTTGAATCCATCTCTCTCGTGGGCTTGCGACAGAACCCCGGGCAAGGTCAAACTCACGGGTTCGATTTCGGCTGGGGGTCAATCTCGAACCACGACAAACAGCCCATTTGGGCCAACTTATAAAGCTCAAACATACACGGCTCGCAACCAAGCTGGCGCTGATGTGGCTGGACCCAGCAATAAAAGGTGATCACCGTTTAGGTTGTCAGTAAAAATAGGAACCCAAACGGGAAACCAAAAGGTCACTTAAGGTCGCCTCGCTTGGGGCAAGTGAGACTCACTCTAAGCAACACTTTGGACGCCCAAGCAAATTGCGGAGTCTGTAGCTGTTGGTCCCATCTTGCACACTCTTCACCGCAGCCCCTGATAAAGGCTCAGCTGCTCTTGCACCTGGCTACTGTCTCTGCCAGTTTTTGAAGAACCCCAGGTCGACGTTCCTCAACTGCTCTTGCACCTGGCTGCTGCCTCCGCCATGTTGTGGCTTACCCCAGGTCACAACTGCCCCAAATCCAAGCTTGGCAGCAAAAGCAACGCCAGTTGCTTTGATACTCCGGACGTTCCTCAGCTGCTCCTGCACCTGGCTGCTGTCTCCGCCACAGTCTGGGCCACCCCAGGTCACAACAGCCCCACATTCGAGAATGGCAGCAAAAGCAAAGCCAGTTGCTTGGATACTTTGGACGTTCTTCAGCTTTTCTTGCACCTGGCTGCTGTCTCCGCCGCGTTGTGGATCACAACAGCCCCAGATTCAAGAATGGCAGCAAAAGCACCAAGAGTTGCTTGGATGCTCTGGACGTTCCCCCAGCTGCTCTCCTGGCTGCTGTCTCCCCCAGCGCTTGGATCACCCCAGGTCACAACAGCTCCAGATTTGAGAATGGCGGCAAAAGCACCATGGACAGTTGCTTGGATATCCTGAACGCTCCTCAGCTGCTCTTGCACCTCGCTGCTGTCTCCGCAACAGTCTGGATTATTCCAGGTAACAACTGCCCCACATTCAAGAGTGACAGCAAAAGCAAAGCCAGTTGTTTGGATACTTTGGACGTTCCTCAGCTGCTCTTGCACCTGGCTGCTGTCTCCGCCGGGGGGTGGATTGCCCCAGGTCACAACAGCCCCAGGTTCAAGAATGGCAGCAAAAGAACCAAGAGATGCTTGGATGCTCTGGACGTTCCTCAGCTGCTCTTGCACCTGGCTGCTGTCTCCGTCGTTGTCTGGATAACCCAGATCACAACAACCCGAGATTCAAGAATGGCAGCAAAAGCAAAGCCAGCTGCTTGGATGCTCCGGACGTTTCCCAGCTGCTCTTGCACCTGGCTGGTGTCTCCGCCAAACTCTGCATCACCCCAGGTCACAACAGCCCCAGATTCAAGAATGGCAGCAAAAGCATGGGCAGTTGCTTTTATGTGTTGGACGTTCCTCAGCTGCTCTTGCACCTGGCTGCTGTCTCCGCCACAGTTTGGATCACCCCAGGTCACAACCTCGCCCCCGTGGCTATGCCAAGCAAACGCCTGTGCGGTGGCAACCAGTCGGCCCAACTGCACAACCGCAGCGACTGCGTCCCCATCTTGCAAGCCGGCCTCGCTCAGGAGGCTGCCACATCCAGCTTTCGGCCTTTCGCAATGAGCGCTGGAAATGCTGCTGCGCCGCAGCCTTCAGCTGGCTGGTGGGTGTCTCCTCTAGACTTTGATGGAGCAACCATCTCCATTCGGCAAGTGAACATCCACCTTCATTGCGCAGGAGGAAGGTTCTTCTGGATGCATTAAAACTGTCAGGGGATCTCGTTTTGAATGGCATTCTGATCCCGGACATATTGGCAAGGGTTCAAATAGTTGGACACAAAAGCTGGGTCCTTGATAGGTGTCTAACTGGCACTTTGTGGACTGTCCCTGAGAATCTCAAAATCGACGCCAGCGACTTGCTGCAGACAACCTGATCTGAATATCGGCGGATCGCAGCTGAACCCTGGTGAGTGGTGCCCATGACCAGCAAAGAATACCAAATAAGCAAAGATTATTCTTGAAAGATGGTAATACTCCACAAGACCACATGTGTTAGGGTGATTATTCTTAAGAAATATTCAAAATCCTCCTCTGTTTCAAAAGGGTTGACATACACTCCAAACACACACACAATCACACACAAAATCACACAATCACACACACAATCACACACACACACACGCACAATCGCACACACGCACGCACGCACGCCCGCCCGCCCGCCAGCACGCACGCACGCCCGCCCGCACGCCCGCACGCCTGCACGCCCGCACGCACCACCCACCGACACACACACACACACGCTCACACACGTACAAACACACCCACCCACACACACACACACACACACACGCACGCACGCGCGCACGCGCGCGCGCGCACGGACGCACGCGCGCACGCACGCACACAGGCACGCACGCAAGCACGCACGCACGCACGCACGCGCGCGCACGCACGCACGCACGCACGCACAGACAGACAGACAGACAGACACACACAGACACACAGACACACAGACACACAGACACACAGACACACAGACACACAGACACGCAGACACGCAGACACACACAGACACACACTCACACACAATCACACACACAATCACACACACAATCACACGCAATCGCACACAATCGCACACAATCGCACACACACACACAATCACACACACACAATCACACACACAATCACACACACAATCACAACAATCACACACACAATCGCACACAATGACACACAATCACACACACACTCACACACACTCACACACACTCACATAGACACACTCACACACACAATCACACACACACAATCACACACGCAATCGCACACAATGACACACAATCACACACACACTCACGCACAATCACACGCACAAGCACACGCACACACACACACACAGAATCACACACACAATCGCACACAATGACACACACACACACTCACACACACACTCACATAGACACACTCACACACACACACAATCACTCGGACAAGCACACACACACAATCACACACACACAATCGCACACAATAACACACAATCACACACACACACACAAGCACACGCACACACACGCACACACGCACAATCACACACACAATCGCACACACACAATCACACACACAACCACACAAACAATCGCACACAATGACACACAATCACACACAATCACACGCACAAGCACACGCAAACACACACAATCACACACACACATTCGCACACAATGACACACAATCACACACACACTCACACACACTCACATAGACACACTCACACACACACAATCACACGCACAAGCACACGCACACGCACACAATCACACACACACAATGACACACAATCACACACACACTCACACACACACACACACTCACACACACTCACACACACACAATCACACGCACAAGCACACGCACACGCACACAATCACACACACAATCGCACACAATGACACGCAATCACACACACAATCACACACACTCACATAGACACACTCACACACACACAATCACACGCACAAGAACACGCACACGCACACAATCACACACACACAATGACACACAATCACACACACACTCACACACACTCACATAGACACACTCACACACACAATCACACGCACAAGCACACGCACACGCGCACAATCACACACACAATCGCACACAATGACACACACACTCACACACACTCACATAGACGCACTCACACACACAATCACACGCACAAGCACACGCACACTCACACACACACACACGCACACACACTCACATAGACACACTCACACACACAATCACACGCACAAGCACACGCACACGCACACAATCACACACACACACGCACACAATGACACACAATGACACACACACTCACACACACACTCACATAGACGCACACAATCACACGCACACGCACACAATGACACACAATCACACACACACTCACACACACTCACATAGACGCACTCACACACACAATCATACGCACAAGCACACGCGCACGCACACAATGACACACAATCAAACACACACACTCACACACACTCACATAGACGCACTCACACACACACAATCACACGCACAAGCACACGCACACGCACAAACACACACGCACACACACACACACACTCACACACACTCACATAGACGCACTCACACACACAATCACACGCACAAGCACACGCACACGCACACAATGACACACAATCACACACACACACTCACACACACTCACATAGACGCACTCACACACACACAATCACACGCACAAGCACACGCACACGCGCACACACACACACGCACACACACACTCACACACACTCACATAGACGCACTCACACACACAATCACACGCACAAGCGCACGCACACGCACACGCACACACACACGCACACACACACACACACTCACACACAGTCACATAGACGCACTCACACACACAATCACACGCACAAGCACACGCACACGCACACACACACGCACACACACACACACTCACACACACT